ATCTTGTTAGGAATTTAAAACCTAGAATAAGCCAGTTATTGTATTCGCATCACACACCTAGTCACACACAGGCACACGCACCTAGGCCGCACGACTAAACTCTACTGAGGTGAACTCAGCTCAAGCTAGATAAACAAGCAGCTGTGGGTTCACGTTATGCCAATAGGCGCAAATTCAATGGCTCCGCGTGTATTAAGCTTCAATGATGCCTACAAAATATCAATATTGCAAACTCAACGCTGAGCAATTGGGGCCAGAGGACGACGCACAAGTGCTTGAATATATAAATCAGCAGTCTCAAAACATCTGGAATCAGACAGGGCTAATCTGACGAAATGAAATGAAAGGCCCAACTATAAAGAACCCATCGAGTTCCAAATAAACATTGAATAGTAATATACCAGGACCTAGCTAAAAGGCACTACTGGCCTATAGGTAAAGATAGATATGGCTTTAAAGATCTCTCGGAACTCGAAACATGCTTATGAACATATGAGTAGCAACGGTAAGCCGGCCGAAAATTGCGCCATTCGTTACTGAATTCGCAGAACTCATGGTCAGCTAACTTTTCACCCTATATATGACCAAAGGACGTTGATCTGATACTCCATTTTCGGACAATTGACAGCACATAAGAAGCAACGGACAAACCCCCTGGCTCATATATCATTTATTAGAATTAAGAAACCATAGGCTCAGGGGTTAGTCTCAAGGAATTATGCTGGCACCAGATTAGCGCCCTGATAGGTAACAAAGAGGATCTAAGACAGACAGGCTTACTAACAAACCTATTAATACTGCATCATTCAAGACGGTGCATGGCGAGTAACTAGTGCAGGAACTCTGAGGTCTGGAATGCAAACTACTCAATGGCGAAAGATATAGAATTTAGCTTTGCAGCTAAAGCTCCGGTGCCCTTAGTCTGTTTATCTGCTATTTTTCAATTGCCTTATCGAAATAGCCGATAATTCAAGCCTAATTTTCGCTCCCCGAAACATTTGACTCGCACGTTAAACGAAAACCAATTGCGTGATCGTGCGGTAAAATAAATTACTCGAAGCTATGGAATCGCCATAAAAAGCAAGTTCTGAATATATGGGCCTGGTCCAAGCTGACTTCAAGGTAGTAGTCACATGCCCCAGTGCAGAGTAGAGTTCAGTGCGATATAATTGTCAAGCAGAAAGTGGCCGTGGGGCCATGCGTACTCATAAATCAGCCAATTCTGCGCCGTGATCATATAGAAGAATTACTCAGCATTTTATTTTATTTTCACACCTTCCTTAAGCGTATATCGAGCCGTGATTCCCCTCATAAAAATATCCCCTCCTTCAACATATATTCGATACAGAACACACATTGCGAGTGTACGAATATTTTGTGATAGTGATGCACTATTAGTGAATCTTGTTTAGATATGAAAGTATACCAGCCATTGGGTAAGAGAGTAAAGAGTTGGTAGATGGGCCAGGACAGAAAGAAGAGTGATAGTGCAACCGTCTTCGGCAGAATATTGGTTGAACGATTGACTTCGCCTGTCTCTGACGAGTTCATAGTTTGGTGCGGAGAATGGCAGCACTCACTGATAATGCCGGCAAAACGTCTGAGAACGTACCAAGTCGACGGTCTGATGCTGGGAATTATGAAAACTACTATGGCAGAGGACTCCGGACTAGGTGCGTTCTACTAAGCCCTCCTGACACGAATACCAGGTTGCGACCATAACGGGGCCATACTATCTTGATCTTCATATCTCGTGATTTTAACTTCACAATTGTTTTTGCAATGCAAACCACCAGTCGTAAGACATACTTATTAGTATACTCCACAAAAAAATGATAAAGATATGCCTCATAAGCGAACTCCGTAGATAGGTATTTTACATCGCCTTACGAAATTACACCACCTGGATTTCCCGTTTATTATGAAGTCGAATGAGTGAGCGTAAATAGATGGAAGAGTGGCAACCACAGGCTGAAACTGACACAAATATCATTTGGCAAAAAACACTGGAAATTTAAAAAGAAGTCAATGAAATAACTGCACCTTGGAAAATGCTAAAAGAGCCAGTGTTTATGCAATTTAGAAAGAAGTAGGCTAACCAACTAGTTAATTAACTGAGAGACGAAAGAATTTGCCAAAATTATTGCTAATTTTGCAAACTCTCCTGCTTGGAATTTCGCTTCATCCGACTTCTTTTTTTCTTTGAGTTAGCAGATTTTTGAGCAGATATCTGCGAAAGGTCATCTGACAGCGAAAGATTTGACAGATTGGGGAACGAGATAGAAGTAGGGGCTATGGGTGAAGATGAAGGGCACTGGCAATCGGACGACTGAGGAAGGGCATTTGAAATTTGTAATGGGCTACTTGAATCAGGCAACGAAAGACTTATCGTTGCTGCCCAGGCTCCAGAAGGTCTATTACTGTTGAGTAGCGGTTTGCTATCGCCAAGAGAGGGCCATTCACAGTCAGAGGGTAGGGTAGTTGGTTCCAAATCAGCAATACGTATGCCCTTCGTGAGAGTAAGAACGCGATTTTTACCAATCAGCGAAGAAACACCGACCTTCGAAACCTAGACATTATAGAACATCAATTAATATCTTATAGATTAAGCTTGCACAAATGAGAAAGAACAACTGTTGGACTAAACAATCATACCTCGGCAAAGGACACTTTGTTGTGCAATCTAACAGGCTGCTTGATTATT